ATTCTTGATCTCCAGGCTATGAGCTCGAGCCCCATGCTGGGTGTAGAGATTATTTAAAAACAAAATCTTTAAAACAAAAATTTAAAAAACCACCACTCTCCATCTTTCTTTATTAGGAAAAATGCCTCCCCCCTTCACCTCCACACCAGCAAACACAATGAATAAATATGCTGTGAATAAATACACTATTCTCTTCAACAAATGCAATCTAAGCTCCTTCCCTATAACAAAAATCAGGCTCTTATGAAACAAAACTATTTTGGGAGGCATGAATTCAAGGAACATTATGGAAGGAATACAGGAATATAATAAACATTAAACTCTTTTCATAACACTTTAAAATAACCCCAACTATCTTTTTTTTTTACTTAATTTTTAACAGTACATAAGTCTCTTTTGTTATATCCTTTACATTCATAATTAGGGTTGTTAATGTACTTTTATAATGTGATATAAAGAAGCACTATTAATGAATTTCTTAAAAAAACACATAAAAACATTAAACAAAAAACACCCACATAAAAACATAGTCCTAAATAACCAATGGGTCAAAGAAGGAACCACAAGGGAAATTAGAAAATAATTTGAGGACTGAAAATGAATGCACAACATAACAAAACTTATAGGATGTAGATAGAGTAGTGCCTAGAGGGAAATGTATAGCTATAAATGCCTACATTAAAAAGGAAGATAGGGATAGCTGGCTGGCTGGCTGGCTGAGTTGATAGAGCATGTGACTTTTGATCTCAGGGTTGTGAGTTTGAGTCCCATGTTGGGTACAGAGCTTACTTAAAAAAAAAAAAAAAAAGAATATTTCGAGTCACTAGCTTAACCTCTACCTTAACAGAGTGGAAAAAGAAGAGCAAACTAAATATAAAGCAAGCAGAAAAAAAGAATTAGAGCAGGAACTAACAAAAACACAGAATAGCAAAACAATAATCGATGGAACCAGAAGTTGCTTCTTTGAAATGATCAACAAAACAGACAAAACTTTGTCTAAACAGGCCAAGAAAAAATGACAGAAGATTCAAATTACTAAAATCAGGTATGAAAGAAGAGACATCACTATGGACCTTACAGAAACATAAAAGATATCATAAGGGAACACCCTGAACAATTATATGGTAACAAAGTAGGTAATTTGGATGGAATGGAAAAAATCTCAAGAAAGTGACAAACCACCAAAACTGATTCAAGAAAAAAAAAAAAAAAACTATAAAAATCTGGATAGACCCATAAGAGATTGAAATAGTGGTTTTAAAACTTCCTACAAAGAAAAGCTTATGCCCACATGGCTTCCCTGGAGAATTTTCCTAAACACTTAAGAAAGAACTAACACCAATTCTTCACAAACTCTTTCAAAAAAGAGAAGAGGAAACACTTCTTAAATTATTCTCTGAGGCCAGTATTATCCTGATAACCAAAACCAGATAATGACATTACGAGAAAAGTAAGTAAAGAAAACTCAACAAAATAGTAGCAAATTAAATCCAGCAACTTATAAAAAACTGGATATACCATCACGAAGTAGGATATATCCAGGTATGCAAAATTGGTTCAACATAAGAAAATCAATGTAGTATAACTATTATTAATAAAGTACAAAAACCTCAAAACTATCTCAACAGACCCAGAACAAGCATTACACAAAATCTAACAAGTGTCTTGATAAAAACTTTCAACAAACTAGGAATAGAAAAGAATGGGGCACCTGGGTGACTCAGTGGGTTAAAGTCTCTCCCTTCGGCTCGGGTCATGTTCCCGGGGTCCTGGGATCAAACCGCACATCGGGCTCTCTGCCCGGCAGGGGACCTGCTTCCCTTCCTCTCTCTCTGCCTGCCTCTCTGCCTACTTGTGATCTCTGTCAAATAAATAAATAAAATCTCTTAAAAAAAAAAAGAAGAAAGAAAGGAACTTCTTCAAATGGATAAAATATATCTATGAAAAAACCACAGCTAATGATGAAACACTGAATGCTTTCCTCCACAGATCAGGAACAAGACAAGGCTACTCTCACCATTTCTATTCAACATCATACTGGAGGACAAGAAAAATAGAAGGAATCCACATTGGAAAGGAAAAAGTAAAATTTGTCTTTCTTGTAGCTCACATGATCTTATGCATAGAAAATCTTAAAGAATCTACTAAAAACTGGGGCGCCTGGGTGGCTCAGTGGATTAAAGCCTCTGCCTTCGGCTCAGGTCATGATCCCAGGGTTCTGGGATCGAGCCCCGCATCAGGCTCTCTACTCAGCCGGGAGCCTGCTTCCTTCTCTCTCTCTGCCTGCTTCTCTGCCTACTCGTGATCTCTGTCTGTCAAATAAATAAATAAAATCTTAAAAAAAAAAATCTACTAAAAACTATTAAAACTAGTAAATGAGCTCAGCAAGGTTGGAGGGGGCAGGATCAATATACAACAATTAGGTGTATTTCTATATACTTACAACGAACAATCCCAAAAAGAAACAAAGAAAGCAATTCAATTTATAATAGCAACCAAAAGACAAAATATTTAGGAATAAATTTTAAAAGTGCTAGCCTTTTACATCCCAAACGGGAAGACAAGTGTTCAAAGAAATTAAAGAATACCTAAATAAATAGAAAGATAACAGGTTCGTGGATTGAAAGACTTTACTGTCAAAGTGGCAATACTCCCAAATTTGATCCACAGATTCAACAATTTCAATAAGAATCCCAAATGCCGGGGCGCCTGGGTGGCTCAGTGGATTAAAGCCTCTGCCTTCAGCTCAGGTCGTGATCCCAGGGTCCTGGGATCGAGCCCCGCGTCGGGCTCTCTGCTTGGCAGGGATCCTGTTTCCTCCTGTCTCTCTCTCTCTGCCTGCCTCTATTTGTGATCTCTGTCTGTCCAATAAATAAATAAAATCTTAAAAAAAAAAAATCCCAAATGCCTTTTTTGCTTTTGCAGAAATTGAGAATCTAATACTATTATGCATATGGAAATGTAAAGGGCCCCACGTAGCCAAAACAATCTTTTTTATTTTTTTTAAGATTTTATTTATTTATTTTGACAGAGAGAGATCACAAGTAGGCAAAGAGGCAGGCAGAGAGAGAGGTGGAAGCAGGCCCCACACTGAGCAGAGATCCTGAAGCAGGGCTCGATCCCAAGACCCTGAGACCATGACCTGAGCCGAAGGCAGAGGTTTTCAACCCACTGAGCCACTAGGTGCCCCGCCAAAACAATCTTGAAAAAGAAAAACAAAGTTGGAGTACTCACACTTCCTAAGTTAAAAACTGACTACACAGCTACAGTTAACAAAACTGTGTAAGACAAACATATACATAAAAGGAATAGAATTGAGAGTTAACAAATAAGCATAAGTATATAATATGTTTATAATATATATAATTGATTTTTGACAAGTGTGCCAAGACTGCAGAAAGAACAGCTCTTTAAGAGGCACAGAGAAAGGGCGCCTGGGTAGCTCAGTCATTAAGCGTCTGCCTTCGGCTCAGGTCTTGATCCCAGGGTCCTGGGATCGGGCCCCACATCAGGCTCCCTGTTCCGCAGGAAGCCTACCTCTCCCTCTCCTACTCCCCCTGCTTGTGTTCCTGCTCTCACGCTCTCTCTCTCTCTCTCTCTCTCTCTGTCAAATAAATAAGTAAAATTAAAAAAAAAAAAGTCACCGAGACAACTAGATATTGAAATGCCAGTAATAAAGCTGGATCCCTACCTCACAACACATAAAAAAATGATCTCAAAATGGATCAAGGATCTGAAATTTTAAGACTCCTACAAGAAACCGTAGCAGTTAAATCTTCACGATCTTGGATTTGGCATATTCTCAGATATGACATTAAAAGCTTGAACAAGAGGGGTGCCTGGATTGCTCAGTGGGTTGGAGCCTCTGCCTTCAGCTCAGGTCATGATCCCAGTGTCCTGGGATCGAGCCCCCCATCAGGCTCTCTGCTCAGCGGGGAGCCTGCTTCCTCCTCTCTCTCTGCCTGCCTCTCTGACTACTTGTGATCTGTCAAATAGATAAATAAAATCTTAAAAAATAAATAAATAAATAAATAAATGTCTAATGTTTAAAAAATAAATAAATAAAAGCTTGAACAAGAAAGGGAAAAAATACTTCATCAAAATTAAATATTTTTGTGTATCAAACAATACTACCAAGAGAATGAAAAATACAACCTACAGAATTAGAGAAAATATCTGTAAGTCATATATTTGATAAGGGTTTGATAAGCAGACTATACAAAGAACTCTTACCACACAACAGCAAAAAGACAAATACCCCAGTTAAAAAATGGGCAAAGAATTTGAACAGATGTTTCTCCAAAGATATATAATTGCTCAACAAAGATATCATAAGATGGTCATATCATGAGTCAACAAGAAAATGTAAATAAAGACCACAACGAAATACTACTTTATATCCACCAGGGTAGTATTATCAAACAGCAGGGAAAATAACAAGTGTGGGCAAGGATGTGGAGATACTAGAACCCATACACAGGGCTGGTAGATGTGCAAAATGGTGCAGCTGCTGTGGACAACAGTTTGATGGTTTCTCAAATAATTAAACATAAAATTACCATATGACCCAGCAATTCCACTCTTAGGTCTATATCCAAAGGAACTGAAAGTAAGTACTCAAACAAATATTTGTACGCGAATGTTCATAGTAGCAAAAGGTAGGAACAACCCAAATGTCAATCAATAGATGAATAAACAAAATGTGGTATATACATTTTATATGCAAAGAAATATTATGTAGCCATAAAAAGGAATGAAGTACTGATGTGCTATGTAGATGAACTACTAAAGTGTGCCAAGTGAAAGCAGCCAGTCACAACAGACTACATAGTGTATGATTCCATTTACATAAAATGTCCAGAAATAGCCAAATCTGTAGAGACAGAAAGTAGATTAGTGGTTGCCTAGGGCTGGAAGGCTTGGGAGGAAACAGAGAAATGACTAGTAGTGATATAGGATTTCCCTCCAGGGTGTTAAAAATGTTCTGAAATTTGGAGGTTCTGCTGTGGTGTGTTTAGTCAGCACCATGGCAGAAGACATCAAAACCAAAATCAAGAACTACCCGACTGCCCCTTTTGACAGCCGCTTCCCCAACCAGAACCAGACCAGGAACTGCTGGCAGAACTACCTGGACTTCCACCACTGTGAGAAGGCAATGACTGCTAAAGGGGGCGATGTCTCCTTGTGTGAATGGTACCAGCGTGTATACAAGTCCCTCTGCCCCATATCCTGGGTGTGGGCCTGGGATGACCGCCGGGCAGAAGGCACATTTCCTGGGAAGATCTGAACTGGCTCCGCCCACCTCTCCTCTGTCCTCCGTCCTTCTCCCAGGGTGGTGAAGGGGGACCTGGATGTATGGTGATCCCCACCCTGGGATTCTGAATCATGGCCTAACTAATAATAAATACTCATTGGAAAAGTGTAAGACTGCGTATGTGTAAAAGAGCCAGGTGATCGGGCATGAAGCTGTGGTGGGAATTAATACCTTGACCAGTAAGAGGGGCTTCAGGCTGATTGTTTTTTTTCTGTTTTGTTTTGTTTCATGTTATTAAACTGACCACCTTATCTATACCAGACACTAGAGTGAGCGAGAGAATAGTCTCAAGCCCCTGGATGTGCTGAAATTCATCTGTATGTTCCCCTTTATTTACACAATTTCAAAAAACTTTTCTTGTGTAATTTTTGAACCACACGAAAAGAGTATAATAAAAATTCTGTGTACTCAAAAAAAAAAATGTTCTGAAATTTATTGAGATAAAGAGCTTTGTGAATATATAAAAGCCACTGAATTTTACACTTTAAATGGGTAGATTATGGTATGTGAAATGTATCTCAATGAAGTTATTTTAAAAAGTTAATAGCTTATTATTTACACAATATGCTTACATGTATCATCTCACTCAAGGCTTATAATAATCCCAAGGAAGAAACTGAGGCAGGAAGAGGGTAAGTGACTCATTCAGATCACCTGTCCAGTGAGTCTGAATTGAGCCTAGACAAATGTCAGTTTTTTTCACAAACTACCTTTAAAACTACCTGCACCCACCTTAAAATAATTTTTTAAGTGAAATAATTTTTTTTTAGTCTAATAAATTTAAAAATAAGTAAATAAAGCCTTTAGAACTGCCTTCTTAAAAAAAAAGATTTTATTTATTTATTTGACAGAGAGAAAGAAATCACAAGCAGGCAGAGAGGCAGGCAGAGAGAGAGGGGGAAGCAGGCTCTCTGCTGAGTAGAGAGCCCAATGCCGGGCTCAATCCCAGAACCCTGAGACCATGACCTGAGCCGAAGGCAGAGGCTTGACACACTGAGCTACCCAGGTGCCTTCTGAAGACTATTTTATTTCTAGAGGAAATAAACATGTTTATTTTTACTGTGAGATTACGTTATAAGATAAGGAAGAAGTCTGGTCATTTAAATATGGCAAAAGTAATTCAGAAAATACTGAAGTGGGGTACTTGGGTGGCTTAGTTGGTTAAGTGTTTACCTTCAGCTCAGGTCATGATCTCAGGGTCCTGGGATCGAGCCCTGTGTCAGGCTCCCTGCTCAGTGGGGAGCCTGCTTCCCTCTCTCTCTGCCTGCCTCTCTGCCTACTTGTGATCTCTGTCTGTCAAATAAATAAATAAAATATTAAAAAAAAAATAAAAAATTAAAAAGGAAAAAAAAGAAATTTTAAGAAGTTCCAAGTCTTGAATTCCGGGAAGATGGGGCTCTGAATATGAATTTTATCATTAAGGAATTAATTACAACATTACCTTTTTTTCAACACCTCCCTCTTCTCTATGCGGTTGAACAGTTCTTGCTCTCTCTCCTTCTCTGTCATCTGCTCCAGACGGGCCCGGTCTTCCTCATCGCCCATGAGGTCTTCCCCATAGCCATCATGGAACTCTTCATCTTCTGAGGATGAGTCGGAATCTGAACTGGAGGAGGAGCTGTTGCTGTCAGAATCTGACACCTCACCTACAGGAAGGCCCAAACATAAGATTAGACTATGCTACAGAAGCCTGAGGCCACAGAGATGACCCCACAGTGTTGATAATCATTGCCACCCCTCCTTGTATTGAAGTAAGCTCTATGCCCAACACAGGACCTAAACTCGAGACCCTGAGATCAAGACCTGAGCTGAGATCAAGAGTCAGATGCTCAACGGACTGAGCCACCCAGGCACTCCTTAGGCTCATAATTTCTTAAGTTAACCAACTGTTACCATGAGGGTTGAAAAATGGTGACTTTCAACAAGTTCTTCTATATTTATTAGTTGGCATTTAAAATATTCAATGTTTTAATGAGTCATTACACTGGTGAATTCTCAATGAAACTGGATCTTGACAGGATAAAGGATGATGGAAAAAGGCAGTATACATTACAAATGAGTATTAAGTTAAACTGGCAATTTAACAAGAACTCTGCTTGACTCAATTTAAGCTAATATTCACAGGCAATATGCTTAAAACCAGGTTTGGCCCATTCTATGCAGGCCAGTTTGTACATAAATGTTATTTCTTAAGAGAAATGTAAAGTTTAACATTCTAGTCCTGGAACAAGTTCACCTTCATCCTAGGTTTAGCAAAAATTCTGGAACTGGTTTCAAAATAAGAACATTTTTCCACTGAGTTTTGTATGTGGTTCAAGAATCTTCCTCTTCAGCCAGATCACGTATGTGTAACCAAGAGGAAGGAAAGAAAATGCAGGGTATTTGTAAAGAGCGTGGAGACTCTAATGCAGAGACTCCTCACAGGTTTGCTGGATGGGCTTTAGGCGCCTCACTAGCCCTTGGGAACTGTGTATTTCTCTTGCTTCATTCAAATTCTCAAAGGATCCATGACCACTGTGAAGGTTAGGGACCGCTGCAATAAAGATGGAGGCTATGCTGTAATGCAGCCCTGCCCAAGCCTCCTGCTCCAGTTCTGACTCTGTAGCTTCAACCTGACAAGAGTGGGAGTTCACCCCCAGGTCTGGGCCACATGGCTCACCTTCCTCAGGGGCTGAGCTCTCAGCAGAACTGTCTTTATCCGAACTGCCTGAGGAAGCAGTTTTGTTGGCTTGTTTCTTCATGGTTCCTTTCTTCTCTATTTTTCTGGCCTTTCCTTTCTTCTTATTTTTATTGCTCCCAAATGTCCACTACAAGGAGAAAAGAAAGAGGAAAACTGAAACAGGGACTTTATTGGGAAAAGCTGGAAGAGTCAAGAGTCAAATCTCTGATAATCATCAAAATGATTCTAAGAGTCTCTACTGCTTTCAACCCAAAACAAATACACTGTATATGAAGAAAGATGGATTTTTTTTCAAACTTTTGTTCAAAATTTGTTAAGTTCCAGTTTGTAATTTCTTAGAGATGGTAGATAATGGACATAACAAACATAAAATTTAAATAAAGTATTTTTTATCAAAACAGAAAAAACAGGTATGAACCTTATGGCAAGTCAACTGAGCTAACGAACTCAGATGGTACAGAAAACAGCTTCTATGGGACGCCTGGGTGGCTCAGTGGCTAAGTGTCTGCCTTCAGCTCAGGTCATGATCCAGGGTTCTGGGATCAAGTCCCCTACTGGGTTCCCTGCTCAGCAGGGAGCCTGCTTCTCCCTCTACCTGCAGCTCCCTCTGTTTGTGCTCTCTCTCTCAAATAAATAAAATCTTAAAAAAAAAAAAAAAAAAAGAACACAGCTTCTAATGTTTCTAATGGCATAGAGGGCAGTCATTGCTAAGGGTTAGTATGTCTGGGTTTCAATACACACAGGATGGTTTAGTTCTGAAGAGTCCCAGGAAGGCAGGGGATAAAGCCTGTGAGCAGGAGAAAACTGCAGAAAGCACAGGGAGAAAGGATGAAGTCCAATCTCTGGCATGGATGGTAGCATTGGTACCAAACTCAAGGAGGCAGAGAGTAAACGACATTATTTTATATATATATATATATACATGTGTGCATCTTTTTTTTTTTTAAACTGCATATGTAACACGATAACATAATGTTTAAATGTGATCAAAAACAGGAGATCCTACAGACATAAGGAGCTTGCAATTTGGGTTAACAGATAACAGGCAGGCAATGCACAGTCACCTCAAGGCCAATAAGGCTGTCTTCATCAAGCACTTGAATTATAGAAACGAAAGATTATATTGGTTGTTTTTAAAATTCACAAGAACTATTTGGTTATATTGGGGTGCCTGGGGTGCAGTGGGTTAAGCACCCGACTCTTAGTTTTAGCTCAGGTCAGATCTCAGGGTTGTGAGGGCGAGCCCTGTGTCAAGCTCCCAACCTAGCACCGAGTCTGCTTAAGACTCTTTCTCCCTCTCGCTCTCATTCCCCTCAATTAAATAAATAAATCTTAAAAAAAAAAAAAAAGACTGTTAAAACTATTTGGTTATATTAAACCAAACCATTTGATAGTTTAACTTGCCAATTTTAGGAGGATGACTTTAGGTGAAAAGTACTTTACTTGGGTGCTTTATCTTATGTACTACAAAAAATAATCTTCATCTTTCCAGCATCACATTGAATTACAGATCTAGTATTAACAGAAAATTTCTACATCTACTATTTAACAAAAGTACAGTTTTTCCTTTTCCTATAATGAGATGATAAATTAATTTCCTACCTCACAATAGTTAAGATCAGAAGTGAATTTATTTTGGAGGGTTTTTTGGGGGGTGGTGGAGGGGTAGTTCTGGTGGAATTTCCATCCTAGAAAGGTCCTTATGCGCTATTCTTAAAAGCCCAGTCTGCCAGATTAAAATACTGAAAAATCAAAATATTAAAACTGCTTTCACATTTTAATTTACTCTTAATTTTTAAAATAGATTTATTTGAGAATGAGAGAGAGGCAGGAATGTGCACATGTGTATGCACATGAGCAGGGGGAGGGGCAGAGAGAGAGAGATGGAGAAAAACAAACTCCCTGCTGTGTGGGGAGTCTGATGCAGGGCTCCATCCCAGGACCCCGAGGTAATGACCTGAGCTGAAACCCAGAGTTGGACGCTTAACCAACTGAGCCACCCAGGCGCCACTACTCTTAGTTATTTTAATTGCCATTTATTTTTATACATAAGAGCCAGGAAGAAGGGAAAAGTGAAAGAAAAAAAAAAAGTCACATGTTTAAGAAAGATGTATTAAATGAGTGAAATTTCTTTATAAGTGAATTTACCTCTCAAACTTTAACATTTCAACACCTCAATTACTATTTAGGAAGAAATCCCAATGCTTCACCTCTGAAGTCTACTCTTCAACCATTTCAAATTTTAATCACTCAAGGAAGATAATTATTAAGTCAGTTTGAAAGAATACAAAGGGTTCAATTTCTTAGTCAACTGAGCTAAAATGTATCAACTTCCCATGCTGACAACACACATATCTCTACAGGCAATAATGTATAAAACACCTTTGTTACTGGCTTTGGTTACAAGAAATAGCACAACCACACAGGTAGT